CCCTACTGGCCTATGTAAAATAAACTGGCCAGGAAAAAGTTCTTGAGGGTATGCAAAATCCAGGAATATGGAATATGAAATATTTGACCTGAAGTGGTAGAAAAGAAAGTAAGGTATGAGAAATAGTAATAAGAACTGACAAGTCTTAGAAGAGATTTTAATGTGGTCAGACAAAACATGGAACCAAACATGGTTCAGAGATTTCAAAATGGGGTGATACAGTCAGTGGAAAATAAGGAAAAGACAGTGATTTTGAGAAGGAAGAGTTCAGATTCAGACATGTTAGATTTGATCTATCAAAGGGCTATGGGGTAGAGAAAAGAATATTGGCCTCCATCAGAGAAATCTGAGCTCAAGTGGAAAAAACAGTGAGGATCCAAAAAATAAACCAGAATGCTAAATTGCATTTTCAGTATGATTTAGTCATGCAAACAACCAGACCTAGGAATACAAAAAAACAAGTACACCGATACGTTGCTATCAGTTCTACACAGATGAAATGGAGAAAACCATAGCTTATCTTTCTCTTTAGTATTGCTTTCATTAGTTAAAAAATATATAAAACACAAACCTGACAAATCAGGTTCCCCATCAAAATAAAAAATTGAATTCAAATAGTGTTAAATAAAAACAACCACAGATTCTCTTAACTTCATCTTCCTCATATAAGAGAATATCTTCTCTCCCAAGATTAGTGTTCAAATTAAACTTTTTGCAAACTACAAAGCAATGCACAAAATTAAGGCATTATAACTTTCTCAGACAGCTAAAGCTATATGGCAAGAACTCATATACAAGATATGATAGGTTTTGAAAATCCTCCACAGAAGTAATAGCTGATAAAGTAGATTATTCTTAGACTCTTTGAAAATCTGACTCCATCTATTTTAACATAAAAATGTCCTCAAATTTCTTATAAACAAATATAGAAGTGTAACATGTTATAGAAGTGAACTCATACACATAAAATTAATATAGTACTTTTCCTACATGTCATTCAAATTTAGAAAGGCAGGGAAAAAACCTGATAATCTTATTCCCTATTTTTTTTTGACTGCTAAACAAATTATTTCATTGTTTTAAAAAGCCAGGCTCTTTAGACATAAATTTATCAATCTCCAAATATTATATGTTCAACCATTCTAAATGGTGCTCCACTCCTCTACTCCAACATCTGGTACTTACTTTACTCGTGCTTAAATATTTTAGATATCTATTTAAAAATAGATAGTAAGCTCCTAAAGGGCAGGACAAATATCTTACATCGTCCTTCAATAAGGACAACCAAGCACAGTGCTGGCCACAAAACAGGTGTTACCACAAATGCATGTTTAAAAAAATACTCTAGCTAATTCACATTATATGCAGCAGTTACCATTTAAAAAGTACTACTTGTGTCATATTATATATCTTAAGGATATATTAGTCCAATAAGAAGTTAAAAGTTGTTTTAAGAAAAAATCCCTCAAGTGTTATTACATAAAAAACATTTTCATATGAATACAGAATGTGTTAAGACTAGGTTAATGTTTTAAATCACACATTTCATTGTTCCTTTAACAAAGTAAGAATGAGATGAAAAATCAGCTTTAAAATTGTGATGCTAAAAAGTTTTCTTAAAATATTTCATTTTATTGAGGTACACCACTATTTGCTCATCTACTCTGCTGCCAGAATTTTAAATATCTTACAGATATTAACCATACAATTTCTCAATTTTTTTAAAAAAGTAAAGTAAATGAATGTTTTGAACCCTTGGGCAGAAAAAGTTAAAACTGACCTATTAACTCTATTTTCTTTGGGTGTAACACTGACTAACCTCTTGCAAATTCCAAGTCTTAAAATTAAAATCTTTATTATGAAACTAATGAATGCTAAAAGGCTAAATATGAAATACACCTAATCCCTGCCTTATGAAAATCAAGAAAAGCTGTGTCAATAGTTCCCACTTTTGCACACAGACCTGAGATATAAAACATGCAAATATATATACATTTTGTAGATGTATGTGTATAGTGATTTGGAAACAGGACATCAAGATAGTTAGGGTAAGATACTTCCCCCTTCCCCCACTATGTTTTTAAAAATTGTTTTCAAAGTGCTGTCTTTTTAAATTACCATAATGCATGAACTAAAAGATACTATGCCTAAGGGAAATTCCAGAGTGCAAGCACCTGCCAGCCAACTTGTCTTAAATTCATCAACAGCAGATTAAAAGCATCCTTTGGTTGTTTTTATGTTATACAAAACACAACAGATAAAATTTCAGTGTGGCACAGCCAATCAGCTAACATTCCTCTCAATTATGTCAAAACTCACTACACATACATTTCACTAATATTAGGTATCTTACTAAATATATGTGTTTTCTTTATTCAAACACACAATAATCAAGATTACAGTTTGAATATTAAATTTTTCACTTTACAAAAATGATTCACCATAAGATTCCCTTAAGTAATCAGTTTCTCTAAAATCCTTATTTATAAAGCACTCAACTTTTCTGCTTATAAAAGAGTAGTTTTTTCAAAAATCTATCTGGTATATAAAAGGAAATAAACATATAGTTCCTTGAGAACAAATGCTTTAATACCTGTGTATTTCTTCTGGGGTCATCTCTTAAATTCCTGCATGATTTACAAAACAAAAGGGTTTTAAATGTCTAGAATACAAGTGCTTGCCCTTACATTATGGCGCTCTTGATAATAAAATAAAGATCAATGTAACTCTCAGCTTTAGACTAATGAACTGCAGGGAACAGAAACAAGCAATTTGGCAAGAGCTGAGCAATGCTCTGCTTTAAAGGCTACCAGTAAAATATACCAACAATACCCTTCCCCCCACCCCTTTAAGGTTTCAATTAAGATGGGGCCTAGTGTTACTCCAACAGGGGTACAGAAAGAGAAAGCACAGAGCTCCTGCTGAGAAGTATCTTCATCAAGTGAAACTCCTGAAACATTGCCAGGAATCATTTTTTCCCCTCTCTGCTAACAGATTCCTCTCTTTAGAGATAGGCATCTACCCTACTCCATACAAACACCAAATCTGAAGGGAAGTTTCATCAATGTACCCACTAAAAAACAAAAAAATTAGGGTTAGCTGTAAATGCTCTTTATATAAAGTGAGAGCCCCAATCACAATCAACTTTATCTTTCATTGTCTTCCATCAGTTATCTAATGAATTGGGCAAGTTATTTAACAAGGCAAATCCATTATTTCAAAATAAATTTAAGTACCCCAGTTGGTGAGAAAATGCCCCAAAGGCACTTACAGAAGAAGCTTCAACAAACCTTCCAGAAGACCTCATATAAAAGGTGATTCTCCTGTGAATAGAGATCCTACCATGCCTACCATAGGCTAAAGAGCAAACATAGTGCAGGGATCTCTCTGCTCCACAACAATCACAAAAGCAATCAATTTTTGCCTTAGTCTATGATTACCTCTAGTGAAAACACAGGACAAGTCTTTTGAGTCCAAAATGATTGGTGAGTAAATCAGGCATGAAGGCAAAAAAATAAAAACCAGTGCAATGCTGATGCTTCTTTAAAAGGGGCCCAAGGATGGAAACAAACTCACTATGCAAGGAATTATAAGAGATCAAAGGTAAGATAATGGACAACAGGTGCCTTTGAAGAAAGAGTAGTATTCAGGTGACCTCAAAGGACTCTTCTTTCCAAAGAAAATCAAGACCAAAATTATGATATTTAATACCAATAATGGGTCCCTTGCTAATTGACTTACTTTTCTTGTTTTAGATTTTAAAAGTCAACCTAATCCCAACATGTCTGGATAGATTAAAGCATGGCCTCTGGCCAGATCACGAACTAATCCATGAACATTAACCAACTAGGGATTTGTCAAAAAATGCAAAAGAAAGGCATCTGAACAGAAACTCCCTCCACACAAAATACTTAAAACACAAATCTAGCAACAGGTATCACATAACGGTAGGATCAGCCAAAACAGAAACTGTTTCTTTCACCATCATAACAACTGAATTCAATCTTTACAGTAACCAGATTCCAATGGCCTCAAAGAATAGTAATTCCAGACACAGGTTATAGGGCACTGAGTACCAGTCTGGAGTTCTGAATTGTGAAATTTACTACCTTTATTCCTATGAAAAGGAGCAATTAAAGGATACTTCTTAATAAGCTACTTAATAAGCTTGTTCCCTTTCTTCATTCCACAAAGACAACATATTCCAAAAATGGAGAATCCTTTCTCCCTGACAAAGGCCCCCTTTCCTATGGATTCACTGGCCAGGATTCATCTGCCATGCTTGCAGAGCTTGAAAATACTTCTGCTTTCACTCTTCTCTAAAAGAGGGTCCCCCAACACAATGCACCTCTTCCTTTCCTGTATTAAGCAAATGATGCTTCAGTGCTACCGGTTCTCTCTACCACTGCAAATGTTCAGAGAAGTTAACCGTGAAGGGAAGTTGTCAGTTACTCTAAGTCTCCAAATTTAACGTAAAGACTGGGGGTGGGGGCATACCCCCCTTCTTGAAGGAATTGGGGTCCCAGCCCTAAAAGAGAGCTTCTGTAAGGGTAAGGGATTGTCCCAACCCTTTTAGACAGTCGTATGGGAAATAGGGGGAGGAAGGTTGGACCGTGAAGGAGTCGGGGGGGGGGGGTGTCGCAACTCTTAAGGGGGGTCGGGGGGGGGGGTGTGGAGAGCCGTAAGCATATGGGAAGGGGGGTGTACCAGCTAGTGAGCGCCACTCTGAGAATTGGGGTCCCCACTTTTCATGAACGTGGGCCCTCACTGGAGGGGCCGCTGGGAGGAAGAGAGGGTCAAGCTGAGGAGGGCTGGGCCTAGGGGGAGGGGCTCTAAGTCCACCCCAGCCAGGAGAGGGGCGGCAGCCCCGAGGGGAACAAGTACAGTGGAACTACTGCCTCCCATCCCGAGGGGCAGGGTGGAGAGCAGGGCCTGGACTGCGTGAGGAGGGAACAATGTTCCCACCCTGCGCAGGAGGAGGGCTCCTCCGACGTACTCACCGAGGCTGCCGGCGAAACCGTCCATCTTGCGGGGAAAGCACCCGGCTCCTGTCTCAGCGGCGGGGCGGGCACTTCATTCAGCGGACCGATAGAGTGGCCGACGCTGAGCCTGACCGGCTCGCGCTCACGGTCGCCCGGCTCCACTCCCAGCCCCCGCCTCCGTGGTCCGTCGATCCGTGCGCCCGCTCTGGGGCAATCAGCCGCTGCCGCCCGGGCCACTTCCCCGTCAGGTTGAGAGCTGCACCGCTCAGCCGCCTGCCCGGCCTCCCTCCCAGGCAGCAGCCGCGAGCGCCTCGAGCCCCGCCCCCGCGCCCGCGCGCAGCGCTAGCCACGCCTCCGCGCACGCCGTCACGCTTCCGACTCCGCCTCCCACGTGACGGCACGGAGGCGGGGTCTCGCCGACCCTCCCTCTCACCTTGCCTGGGCTGGGAGCTCGCCCGCCTTGCGACGTAGTGGTGACCGCGCTTGCGCGGTAGGCCTGCTGAGGGCTTGGGACTCGGGTACTGGAGTAGATTGCGAGCTGGTGGGAGTGAGGGCTGAACATCAGGCCTGGACCCTAATGAGAGCCCTTAATTCTGTTGGCGACAGATCGTCAGAAAGGATTCTCGCTCCTCACAGCCCTAGGGGAGCTCAAGTCTGGAGCCTCCCTGACTAGACAGTATCACCCCTCGTGTCCTCCAGAGACTTTGAAGAGGCAACCTAGTGCAAGGGGACATTCCTCTTGCCTAGGCCCAAGGATTGGGCTGGGTTAAGGACAAATGGGAGCCAGTTTTCTTGACTGTCTCAGGGCCATCACTGCCACGACTTCAAGCGCCCATGGAGGAAATGTTAGTGCTGAACAGGACTTTAGAATTCGTCTTGCCTCCCCTCGGGAAGAACACTGAAGCTCAGAAAGGATATGACCTGCCCAAGGTCATAAAGCCTGGAGGAAACGCCTAGAACCCAGGCTTCTTTACTCCCCCTAGTGTTTCTGTCAGGGATGCAAAGCAATCTATACAGGGTGCATCATAGGATTGCTTATTGGGGACCTGCAACAAAGGGTTGAAGTGAAGTAAGCCTGAGTTCTAGGGCCAGCACCAAGGGACTCCAGAAGTTAGTGTCAAGTCACTAAATGTAAGCTGAACCTCACTTTATTCATTTGCAAGTGGAAGGACTGGACTTGTAACCTAAACATAGCCTCATCTTCATCTCTTCAGCCAGACACCTCATTTTTCTACACACCATCTCCTGTACTTTCAAAAGTCCCTCCTGAAACTTGTTTGTGTGGATCAGAGTTTTGGTTAAACAAGAGAACGCTAAGGTGTTCAGGGATTGAATTGCTCTATAATACAGAACTGAGAAGAAAGTTAAGTCATTCTAGAGAGAGTTGCAGGAGAGAGGGACAGACTGCCTCATGTCTCCTGAAGCCTCTTCTAAGGTGAGTCAAACATTTCCAAACTAAAGAAAGCCTTCCCAGTTTGCATTTAACCATCCCCAGACCTTGCCTAAGTTTTTCCTTCAGGTTACCTGCCTTTCTAACTTGATTAGACCCCAGACCTTGCCTAAGTCTTTCCTTAAGGGTAACTGCCTTTCTAACCTGATCAGTCCAGATGTTTCCAAGATTTACTTGGTGTTGGTGCAAGCTTCAACTCAGTTGGTGTCATTGGGAGCTTGGACCTGGTTCATTTTCAAAACCAAAACCTAGATAGTACATTCAACTTGCTTGGCAATGCCTCATGCTGGTACTAGACAGGTAAGTTCTGCTGTATCCGAATGGCACTGGCCAGGGTCAAACATGACGCAAGTGTCTCCAAACTGCCAGTTTTTTTTTTCCTCTTTTTTCCTAAAGCCCAGAGTTGAGTCAGGGTTAGCCATCTAGCACAGTACCTTGGTATAGTCTGGGCTGATGCTGCTCTGCTGGGGCTGCTGTTAACACATTTACATTATGACCTTTAGCCCTACATCTCCGTGATGGGATGCAGCTTGAATCAGTATCATGGGCCACAAGAGTGTTCCCAGAGCCTGTTGCTAAACCACACAGCCAAAAATAACTCAAATTAATTGAGAATGACTCTAATGCATGTAAATGTATCTCATTAAGCATGAAATTAAATGTATCCCCAACTCTGCTTTCCCTCAGCCAGAAACCCAAAATACCCAAAGCCATTCCAATACTATCTGATGTAAAGGGAAATGTGATAAAGAGGAAATTGTAAGGGAAAGACAAGCTTTCCTGAAGGCTTGAAAGAGACCTCTGCAAGTGAGACCTGGAGCTTCATGATAAACCTCACTCTGCATCAGTTATTTTTATTTCTACCAAAGTGATTCATGCTTATCTTGACGAGTGAAAACAACCAAAAGTTTACTTTAAAAAAGCAAGAATATGTAAATAAATAAATTCTTATTCAGAAAAATAACAAACAGGAGAGATACAGCCTTCACCATGGATAGGTATTACTATCACTAAGGAAACTTCTCTTCTTAAGTTTTAGTCTTCCAAGGAATTCCTTTGTTCATTGTGCTATATAACCCCTGACTTTGCTATCCTACAAGAACAGTGTCAGGGTGACTACTCAGCCCACTTTATACTTGTGCAAACATGAGGCCAAAGGTTATTTTCCAATTCAGATAATCAAAGGGTTTGTTAGAGAACACAATTCCCTCAAGTTTGTAGACTCCTGATCTCTTTGCTTCCAGTCAGCTCCATGTGTTGATAGCCATACCCAAAATTCTTTCCTATACTTTATTCTCACGCGTAATTTATATCCTTGCATTCCTTCCCTAATTCCTTTCTCTCTCAGTTTAATGGGGGCTATCTTCAGGCCATCAGACTTGGGTGGGAGACTACACTCAGTTGGATCATTGCTTTGAGTCCAGTTCTAAATGAATCTTTTTTACTCAGAGGTTCTTAATATGTTTGTTTCCTATCTAGATGTTTACACACAATCAGCTTTTTCGTCTTTTAGACCCCCAAGTTTCCAAATTCCTCTAATTCTTATCTATTTCTTCTTGCAAACCAGCCAATTCTTGTTTCAGCTTTTCTCTTTCTTATAATTACTGTGCTCTGGCACAAAACCAGTTGTGCCACTGGAGTTCTTTGCTCTTCTCTTATGATGATAAACTTCAAAATAATAGCCAACACACACTATTACTCTAAGTCTTTCCAAAATTTTTAGAACTATAAGTTTACTAGGCACGTAGTGTTCCAGCTTCTAAGTTGTTATCATCATCAGATATAGCAAATATTTTCCATGACATAATAGGACTATCAAGTCTTCTGGACTCCCAACAGTTTTTTCCACACCACCCCAATACCCAGCTCTGAATTCAGAGTCATATGTTTTAGAGTTTATTTTTTTCCTTATAGTGACAATCAACTTCAAATTTTCATTTTCTGCATTAGTCAAGGTAGGATGACACTGTTACAAGCAATCCTCAAATTTTGGTAGTTTAATAAAAATTTTCACTCTTATCACTATCCAGTGCAGGTCAACAGGAAGTTATTCAGGGATCCAGGCTTCTTTTATCTTAGACTCTGCTCAGTTAGCCAGTGAATAGGGGTGGTAGTGGAAGAATGTGGAGGATCAAATTAGAAACTTATGGTCTAGCTATGGAACTGTGTACTTCACTTTTATCCACATTCCATAGGCCAGAACTCGGTCCCTTGACCATATTTAACTGCTAGGGAGGCAGTAGCCAAAAGGAAAAGAAACAATGGGTCAAAGAGTTTCTGCCACACTCCTCTCCATAGCACTTAGAAGTTCTAATTTCTCATTCTCTTGACTGATTATTCAGTAAGTGTCTCACCCACTAGACTGCATACTACAAAGAGACTTTTTAGAAAATAGGACAGGTAGTATCCCAGAGTGCAAACTCTGGGATCATACATACTGCCTACATTTAAATCCTAACTGTGCCACTTAACAGCTGTGCAACATTGGACAAATTTCTTAATCTTTTGTGTCAATTTTTTTCACCCATAAATGAAGGATGATAGCATGTCTACTTCCTAGAGTTATCAAGGTAATACAATGAGATAATACATGTAAAGCCCTTAAAATAGAGCCTAATATGTTTTAAGTACTTGGCAAGTATTAACTGTTGTTTTTATTGTAAGTAGGCTGCATCATTTGTCTTTGCTCACTGTTGTATGCTTATTATAGAGTAGCTCTTTAATAAGCATTTATTGAATATTGAACAATATAGAAGAATTCTGAAAAAGTCAGTCTGAACACATTATTTCATAAATCATGCCCAAGTGTTTAAAGAGCCAGCATTCACTTTTCTGTTTGTGTTTATCAAGTTTGATTCCAAAAATTGTTTAATACTGCCATAATAAAATGGAAGATTTAATATTAGCCCCTGAAAATGAAAATATAGGCACATATTATTATCAAAGACATAAAAATCTAGATCTGCTGTTAGGGAGGCCTATTTGGACTTTTCATTTTGGAAAGCATTTTTATCTTTGGGTTATTTTCAAGAATCCAGTGCCCCCTTTGCCCATCACATTGAGCCTGTTATGTGTGACTTAATTTAGGCAAATATAAATTACCATTTTTCAGGAGCCCAATTATTAGAAAGGCTAATTATAGATAGATCAAATAATAAAAAAAATGTAAACATTCAGTACGCAGAGTCTTGTGTAGATTCTGTGCAAGGTTACATTTTCCTCTGTCAAAATGAGGTTATTGTGCCGTGAGTTTTAGCATGCTTATGAAGACTTACGCATTAGTATTTATTATCAAAGCTTTGACCTAAGTTTTGAAGAAAAGTAAGATTCCTACACTGAATTTTTTCTTTTGCTCTCAATAGGTAGATGACCTTGATAAGTAACTAGAAACACTTTTTATCTTGACTTTCCCCCAGTTTTTTGTTTTTTTAAATTTATGTATCCAGAATTGGGATACAGGCTGGAGGTGCAGAGGTGGTAAGGGGATTCACCAGAGACAGAGTGGGGAGCACAACAGTCAGACTGATGAAGTACTTTGCTGAAGGCAGTAGCTGCTCCACCATGTGGGTCACCTCTCTGGCTGGGGATTGAACCCTGTACCGCAGTGGCTATGGGTAGCTTCATAATAGTGGGGCGCTCTAACAGTCACGCCACCGGATAGGGGAGGGGCCCACCCTCTGTTCTTTATATAGAAGCAGTTTTTTTTTTTTTTTTTAAGTATGCTGAACTTTCAGCTCCTTTTATTTCATTGTGTTAATTTATTAAAAAAATTAAACCTGGCCCTCCCTAGTGGCACAACGGGTTAGGACGCAGCACTGCAAGCTGGCTGCAGCCGCTTCAGTGCAAGTTGGATCCCCGCCCTGGAGGTGATCCACATGATAC